TCTGAGACATGGTTTAGAGCATGATCTGAAACAGAACGGTAGATAGAAGAGATGCGGCATTTCCTGGGTTTATGTTAGGTAAATATTGTGATTTTTTTTCCTTGTACTTGGTGGGTTTTGGTTGTGGGTTATTTTTTTTTCACAAATTGTTGTGTTTAAAATGTTTAAAACCAAGAGGTGGGAGAGGAAAAAAAATCCCAAATTCTACAGTCTGAGGGAAAATTGATTAGGCTCACACGCGAAACTGTTCCCTTTCCCCCATGTCAGTGCAGAGCTGCTTGGGAGAGCAGGCTTTTCTGGTGGACACTGGGCCTGCCCTGTGCCATGCCACAGACTGCTCTGCTGCGGGCAAGCTATAGGGTCTCTTCTGTATGCCCTCATGAGTTGTGGGACCACCAGAAAGCCATGCAGGCAGAGCAGGTACTGTCGTCACTCTTCATTACTGTAGGGACCTGGGCAGAGTGTGCGTGACTTGGCATGGGGCAGGACGTACACAAGCACGTTAAGAGGCTGGATGCCAGTACTGCTCCTGAACCCACCAGTGTGAGTCTGCTCCGCGCTGCTGTCTGAGAACACCACATCTGGCTGCATTCCTGATTACAAGGGGACCTGGGAACTTCTAATGCATGGTTGTAAACTTGTTGTAGGGAAGTGGAGAGTGCATCTTTGCTGATTTTTCCAGTATTTGCATCATCACTGGGATGTAGGAACTTTACTGCTGCCCTTATTGCGTGATATAAGTCTCCTCTGAGGATGTCCCAGTGTCAGTGATCCTGCTAATTTGAAACCCCATCAGTTTACAGTAAAGACGAACCCCCAGACTCCAGTTAGCTGTTCATGAGCACAGGGGCAGAGGTGGACCTGAAGGGGCTGGTTTCTACCTCTGCCAAATATGAGCAGGTAGATCTTTTTCTCTCCTGACTCTATATTCTAACTTCGGCCTCTGTGCAAAGCAGGGATATTTATTGCCTTCCAAATACATGTTGTTACCCAAAGTAGTTACTAGCCGAATTGAATTTAAATGCAGTCAAGTTTTATGGAGAGACAAAGTGTTAAAGAGGTGAAATGCGCAGACTTTGTGGGGAACGCATGCTCAGATATATATACTGCCATGCACATTCCTGGACAATTGACTGACAAGTCAAAAGAGAGTCAGGAGTGAAGATCTGAGCCAAAGCAAGTGGGAAAAAATGGTTCACCGTCCAAGGACAGGCAGTGTGTCTTCTGAGAAAGTGAGGAACACAGGCAGAGATCAGAGCTTGCTGCAGGTAAAGGAAGTCCTTTTGACTCAGATTCGGCCAGCTCCAGTGTAGCTCTGCTCACTCACAGTCTTGGTAGCTTTTTAAAATGGGGGTGGCTGCCTCAGCTCAGGGCATGGTTCCTGCTCATAGTGGAGTGAGCCTAGCAGAGGGCCACCAAGATGATTAGGAACCAGAAACGTATGACATGAGGAGAGGCTGAGAGAGCTGGGTTTGTTCTGCCTTGAAAAGAGAAGGATTGGGGTGGGATCTTATTTCTTCCTTGAACTACCTGATGAAAGGACCATGCCAGACTCTTCTCAGAGGTGCACAGTGAAAGGATGAGATGTGACAGACACAAGCTGCATGAAAGGAAAATTAGACACGGGAATTAGATATAAGCAAAAACTTTTTCACCATGAAGAGCCTCAAACACTAGGACAGGGTTCCAAAGAGGTTGTGGGATCTCCATCCTTGGAGATACTCAGAACTCAGCTGGACAGGGCCTGGAGCAGCCAACTCTTAAGTTGGTCCCGCTTCGAGGGGTGGTTGGAGCAGAGACCTCCAGAGATTCCTTACACCTTTGTTATTCTCCAATTTTGAGATACAGGCTAAGCCTCTCCACTCCTGATCTTCTGGCATCTTCCCACAGTTCCTCCCCATTGGTACAGCAGAGCAGAAAAAGTTCTTCTCCAGCCTTTGGGGAATAGTCCTAGAACAGCTGTGTGCTGTAGTACAAAAGACACATGATGACTGGCAAGAGAGGACACAAGCTTCTCTAGTGAGGGGTTCAA